CGATAACGGCCGCGATGGAGACCCAGTACCGTTGATCCAGATCATCAGGGGTATTGGCTGGCGAACCAGACTGAAATGTCTCGAGGAGCTCAGCGGCACACACGTCGATCTTGCGCAAATCGACGTCAAGAAACACTTCCTCGCCAAAGCCATGACGTCACTCAAGATTCGCGACTGCGCAGGGGTCAGCAGCTTCTTGAATCAATGCCATAGCGCATCAGTCGACCTTACATCTCTCATCTTCAAAGAGTCGGAACGTGAGATCGAGCAGGAGGAAGAGACGGCATTGTGCACCATCATAGAGTCTTGCAGCGATTTGCAGACCCTGTGCCTGATCTACGACAAGGCCAATCCGATCATCGAGAGTACCATCACACCAAGCTTCTGGGAAGGCAGCATTAGCAAGATTGACCAGCCCGATTACTGCCACTTTCCCCTGGCCACCATCCTCCCCAGTATTGGTCATTCATTGACATCTCTACATCTCGGAGCTGACCCAAGCCTTCGACTTCACACAAAAGACCTCGTTTTCATCGCTACCCAATGTAACAACCTCACCAGCCTTGGTATCCCATTCCCCGCCTTGACCGAGGACATTACACCCGACCAGTTCCGTCAAGAGATATCGGATCTTGGTGTTCTACGAGACCTACTACTCCTCCAGTATCTCCACCTATCATGCCCGCCGACCGAGCCTGATGAAGACGGCGAGCTGCCACCCCCAGTCGAAGACATAGCACGCTGCGCTCTGGAGATGTTACTGAACGAGTGGATATTGACTCACGTCAAATACTTCACCGTGGCCTTTCGCACAGCGACGTATACCCGCGACACCTGCCATTTCCGGGTACTATCGTACACCAACAAGCTCGAACGCATCTCCGAGAAAAAGCTAGGAAGGAACATGGAAGCATTTGGTCACTTTGTACGAGGCGACTGGGACGAGATGGTGAGAAAGAAGACGGGACTTGAGCTGCCGCCAGCTGATGAGAACGACTCAAAGGATGGAGGTACAGAGGGATATATGGTGGACAGTGCACCGTACAGGCATTTTGACCCTTGGTCTACAGCTTCGCGCTGAGAGTGTTTGAGCCCTTCAAAGCGTCGTCGATGGCACACATGGCCTGCACCAGCTTCTCTTCTTGTAATCTGGGTGCGACGACTTGTACACAAAGCGGCGTGCCAAGGTAGACCGAACGATCAGTGTTGGTCCCTGCATTTCGTGTTAGTATGTGAGCGCTTCGGTATTTCCAACGAGTCGAGGAAAATAGTAATACTTACAAAGCTCCCTGTTTGCTTTGTCCCAACTTCCCAATGGCTCCGTGCTCGCCATCTCGCCCTTCATATCCGCCTCTTCAAACGACCTTACTGGTACAGTACCGGCAGGGTAGTCTAATAGTACAAACGAACTCGTGTAGCTGACGCCGTTGTACCGGTCAATGGGCGGTACAGGGTGTGGCGCGACTGGACAGATCAAGGCATCGATCTCGCCATGCGCATCTTTCCAGATACTCAAAAACTCCTTTCGCAGCTTCTCGCGCTTGCCATGTAATTGCTGTACTTTGGGAAGGTCCATCGGCTTCTTGCGCTTGAGTCGAGTGGATAGCCATGGCGAAAGTGGCTCGTTGAATGATTCCAGTAAGTCAAACATGGCGTTGCCACCTTCAACACCGAATAGCGCATTGGCGAGGGATTGACATTGAGAAAAGAGAGGGGTGATGTCCATGTCCACTGTCTCGATACCAGACTTTTGCAGTTTAGCTTTGACTTCATCTAAGATGCTGGAGATTGGTGGATGTGGTTCAATGACTCCATCTCGCCGGACGATGCCGATCCGTAGCTTCTTTCGCGTAGTTGATAGAGAACTCCATGGCGATGGTATGACATCTGGATCCATATTCCACGGCTGCTGGGATGCGACTGCGCTGAAGAAGAGTTCGATGTCGCGCATGGTGTGTGCGAGCGGCCCTGCACTCGCTGGGATACCAACTTTTGTTGCTCCAGGAAGCATGCCGCCCTCTTGACCCGCATAGGGAATACGTTCCCAGCTGGGCTTAATACCGAACATACCATCGCACATGGCCGGGATCCTGATGCTGCCGCCCACATCTGTGCCTACACCCAAGATTGAGCCGCGCATCGCGATGAGAGCGCCCTCTCCACCTGAGCTTCCACCAGCGGTCACAGCAGTGTTGAGCGGATTAATAGTTCGCCCGAAGACGTTGTTGTGGGAGTCGAGTGCCATGAGCGTTTGAGGTACGTTGGTCTTGCAATAGAGAACTGCACCGGCGTTGAGTAAGCAATCGACTAGGATCGAGTTCTCTTGTGCCGGTTTGAAGCAGAGAGCTGCAAGCCCGATCGATGCATCATGACCTCGGACCCTGAAGGTGTCTTTCAGTGAGATGGGAACGCCGTGGAGTGGCCCAAGGGGTGCTTTTCCTGATGCCAGATGGGCGTCAAGCTCCTGGGCTCTCTTCAGCGCGTCATCAAAGAAGATTTCTGTGAGGCAATTGGTGACTTGGTGGGCAATTGCTGCTCTCTGCCATAATGTTAGTTCATCAGCCGCTACCAAGAGGTCTGCTCCAATTTGGGACGGCTTACTTTACAGAAAGCCCGTGTCACATCGACGCATTTGAGTTTCTTCCCTCTGATTGCTTCGGCCAGTGCCACAGCATCATATCGTCCGGTGATCTCCAGCTCCTCTTCTGTCAATAGCCCTGACTTGCGTGGTATATCGATGTAGCTCTTTACGTCGGCTCCTGGTAAGACATTCAACTTCCATTCTTTTGGTATGCGCTCGTTCTGTTCTGCTTTCTTCCGCCTCGATACGGACCGCCAATCTTTGTCTGCAGATGAGCCTCCTTGCGACATTGTGATGTATGCGACAGTTGAGGAGTGACGCTGTGATATCGCGGACATAGAGGACGCGCGGGTAGGAGCCGAGGTATACTAGATTGGGACTAGCTTGAGGGGTAGGGACCCGGGGACGTCGACACCTCCAGGGCTGCCCAGGTGGTCAACTCGCTTTCGCAGCGCCGTGGATGCGCGAGCAGATAAAGCTAGGCTAAAGCAACGCCTGTCGCTGTACGTTCTACCGAACCTCCTACTCATTACTCGCCTTACGCACCTTGGGGCATACGTGCGCTTAGCCATGTTCATCTTTGCTGCTCTTTCGCGCCACTTCCGGCTTCAACGCGACTTATCGCAACGGACAGCCTCTGCTTTGAAAGGTCTTGTTATCCAGAGACGAGAGCTCGAGCGCGCATGGTGCAGGCTGGAGTGCCTATCCGAGACGGCAGGACGCCTCTTTGCGCTAGGGAAATGAGCGTACCGTACCTGGCGTACCGGGAGAATGCGATAAGGGCTCCGTCTCGAAGAGCCACGAACAGCCTCAAACAACGACTACGAAGGCATCGGTACAGCCGACGGAGCACTTCAGAATGGTCACATGTCTACGTGTTCGGCCTGACTCTAGTTGCTGACATCTGACACGACGGGGAGTCGCGGTCGCGCTTCTTATCCCTGCCGCTGACAGCCAGGGCGCGCCGCAAGCGCAGTCCCAATTGGATGGCGTCTCCTGCCCCGGAATATTTTCCCACTCGGCCTGCCATCTGGCACCACGACGCACGCCGTGCCCCCATTGCTAGTAGCCCGCCCATAGACACCGCACTCGCTCTTGTACTCCTTTCCCTTCTCTACCTCTGCACCACTTGCATTACATTTTTTTGTCTAATTCGATATTCGCATCCTTCGCTATGGCAGCCGGCAACTTCTCGCTGCCCCCGGGCCAGCACCCTTACTACCCCATTGAGAAGGAGATTGTGGGCTATCTGGCCAACGAGCTGGGCACGCTGGACCTGCTGCTCATGTTCGCTGCCGGCTGCGTCGCCATCTTCAGTGTCACGTACGTGATGGTCAAGCGCCTGCGCCCCAATGCCAGCACCGGCGACCTCTCCACCATCATGTGGTTTGTGCTGTGCGGCTGCATCCACTCGTTCTTCGAGGGCTACTTCGCCTACAACTTTAGGAATATGGGCGGACTGAACGACCTCTTTGGCCAGCTGTGGAAGGAGTACGCGCTCAGCGACTCGCGTTACCTGACCCAGGACGCCTTCGTTTTGTGCATGGAGACCGTCACCGCTGTACGTATACGTCTTGTTTGGGCTTCTCTCGAAGACGGACAGCAACTAATCAACATTCTCACAGGTATTCTGGGGCCCCGGTTCCTTCCTCTGCGCCTACCTCATCGCCATCGACCACCCGCTCCGCTACTCGGCCCAACTCATCGTCTCGCTCGGCCAGTTCTACGGCGACGTACTGTACTATGCTACCTCGCTTTTCGACCACTACATCCTCAACCTGTCGTACTCGCGTCCTGAGCAGTTCTACTACTGGGGATACTTTGTCCTGATGAACGCTTTCTGGATCGTGATCCCAGGATACCTCATGTACCAGAGTGTCATGGCCACTTGGAGCGCGTTTGCGGCTGTCAACGACGCGGCGAAGCTCGTTGAGAAGATCGGCAAGAAGCGCAACTAGAAGGATGTTCCATGCATCAGACGCATACAAGCAGTGCCTCTGAGGAGGACACCAATACCGCTGGAGTGGAGGAGTGACTTGGCCAAGGACATCATTTTTACGGTTTGATTGTTGGGATGGGTTGAAAAAGCATTTTGGATACAGACACGGTACTTGATACCCTAGTTTTGAAGGCGTGGCTTGGACAGGACGCCCTAGATCGATAGACTCGGATAATGCTAATAGAAGATTATGGCAAGTAGATGCAGCTTCAGAACTCCTTTACAACGTATGTTCCCGGAAACTTAGCAAGTAACGCCGGGATTGCCGATCACCCATGTTAGTGTAAACCCTATTGTCGGCATTTTTCGCGTCGTAAGCTCGATCCTTGCCGCTCATCACAAACAGGCCGAGCAGTACATAAGCACTTGGAGAAGTTCCCGGCATCTTAACGTGGGCTAGAACTCTCGACACAAACAACCATGTATCTGTCGACTACTTCCCTCGCACACTGGTGTCTTTTTGCCCTATCGGCGACAGCTCTTCCCAACGCCGTAAATCATGCGTCTCCTCCCATCTCCATTCAGATGGCCCAGTCGATCATCTCCCGGAGCCAGGGTATCCTGATCAGCCAGACCGACTCCTCTGCCCTATTGCAGGCTGGATTTACGCAGAAGACGTTCCACGAGATCCTCTCCACTCATGCAAACAGTTCCTTGGCCCCAGCACTTAAGGCCTACATTACTAAGAGCGCCGACTCTGTGGTACCTGTCGTCTCCAACGCAACGCGTGACACGAAATACCCATTGGACCGTCTGAGCAGCGGAAACGGTCTACTACGATTATGGCAGGAAACCGGGGATGAAAAGTACAAAACAGCATTCGAAGCATTGAGAAAGAGTGTGGATTTGCAGCCTAGAAATGACCAAGGCGGGTTATGGTACTATGTTTACCCGTACTGGAGTTACCTGGATGGCATGTTTAGTCTGACTCCGTTCCTCGCCGCATACACAAACGATGTTGGTAACTCTGCCATGACTGAAGATACGCTAGAAGACATGGTCTTCCAACTCGATCTGCTATGGCAGCGCTGCTACTCGCAAGAAACCGGTCTCCTAGTACACGGTTACGATGCCAGCCACACAGCAGTCTGGGCCAACAGCGCTACAGGCGCCAGCCCGCACGTGTGGGGACGCAGTCTGGGATGGTACTGTATGGCACTCATCGATACGCTCGAATTGCTCCCCGCGAATGCAAGCCACGCACGCCAGTACATCGGATCTCGGTTCCAACAACTCATGCCCGCTATCGTGGCAGCCGCAGATGGAAAGACCGGGGCGTGGTGGCAGTTAATGGATCGACCTGGCGACGAAGGCAACTACTTGGAGAGTAGTGCGAGCAGTATGTTTGTGTACTCTTTGCTCAAGGGTGTAAGATTGGGGGCTCTATCCACGGATGCAGCATGGAATGGCACCGCTTCATACAGCGGCGGCCAAAGCGCGTATGTGGATGTGGCGAAGAAAGCGTACGAGTATATCACCGATACATTTGTCGTCCATAATGGGAACGGGACGCTAGGCTGGAACGGCACGGTTGGGGTATGCAGTCTGAACTCGACGGCTAGCTATGAGGTGAGTGATGGTATAAAGCAGTAGTGAGTGCCAGTGCTAATACTATGCGACAGTACTATGTGGGACAGCCGATTGTCTACAACAGTCCTCTGGGGTCGTTGGCCTTTGTGAGGGCAAGTTTGGAGGTCGAAAGATTGGCCCTACAAGGTTGAGAGGTGGTATGGTAGACACGTTGTCTTGGCGTTTACCACCTGGGCAAGGCGGCCGTCCGCGGTCAGAACGAACAAGCAGAAATAGGAGGCTAAAATAAACCATGAGACAATCCCACATTAAAATCTCCGCAACAAGCGCACTGAGTGGTACGATAGCTCCCGAGCATTCGGCAGCGGGCAAATACAAAACCTGTTGTTGCTGTTTTCCATGCATCGTACCAACAAGGATGTCTGTTGAATAAGATGGCGGGGTCAGATCACAGGCCGCGGAGCATATCATCGCACTTTGTTGCGCGCATCTTCGATGTAGTCGTAATGCCAGTAATGCCAGCAAAGCTGCAGCATGGGTTTGTTGATCGAATCGTGGGTCGACGTGGTGCACTGGTCCGTAGGCGAGCCTGTCTCTCATGGATGTTCCCGCGGGATAGCCCAACGTGACTGGGCTGCGAGATAGCAACCTGGGAATGTCTCAGCCGCCGTGTAAACAAGAGGCTGGAAGGACTCGGACTCGAGCGTGTCTAGATGCCGACGCTGCATGGCAAGTTTATGCTGATCTCGCACAAGCTCATGGGCTTATCGTATTGCTTGTCGGCGACACTGGAACGTGCGGGCAGACTTGGCCAGTCCGGTTTTACTGGCGGGCCGCAGCCATTATTGGGTCATCAAACATCACACCGTCCCTCTAGCAGTTCGCTCGCCCTGCGCTACATTCAACGTTCCCCTCTTATGGGGTGACAGCTTTCACCACACTCACCTATACGCTCGCTGTCGAAATTGTTAATCGCGCAGCCGCCCGCACAGAGGCAGCTCCGGCGTAGCTCTGGAAACGGCCCGTCAGCCACGCCCACGCAAAACACCATAACACTCACACCCGCCCGTCGCAAGCCGCCCCGTCCCCGTGACGTCTGCCCGCAGCTCCAATGACACTGGGACTCGATGCCCGCTTCCCCCCGGCCCAGTGACCCCGACAACACGGCTGGACAGCAGAGAAATGGCACGCCGGGCAAGAAGATGGGCGCGACGGACAAACAAGCAGCCATGGACGGCAAGGACTTTGCCAAGGCCATTGGCATCAACAAGCCCGCCAACGTGCGCGACAAGATAAAGCGCTGGCAGCAGGAGGTCGACCCCGACGCCGCGAGCAAGGAAGGCGCCGGCGCATCCGCCCCAGAGGCCTCCACCAAGCCCGCCGCCTCGCCCAAGCCCGCGACCACGCCCAAGTCGAAACCCCACGACGACAAGCCCAACTGGAAACCCACACATGAGCGCGGAAAGTCGGTCGGCGCCAGCCCAGAGCGCCCGGGCAGCGCGAAGAAGACCCCTGTCCCCCACAATGAACTCGACGAGGACCTGCTCACGGCAACAGCGCCTAAGAAGCGCGTCATCAGCGACTCGCACTGGCGCGCCAAAATGTCACCACCCAAAGAAGCCGCCGGCCGCCCACAGCCAAAGACGATCCCCAACGCCTGGGTGCGCCCCTCGAGGATCATCCCCAAGAAGCCCGCAAGCCCTGAGCTCAAGCCCATAGCCCCCGTTACGCCCCAGTCAAACCCTCTCCTGCCCCTCGCGGAGTACATAGGTAAGAGCACAGGACAGAAGAAAGCCCCGCCGAAGCCACGTAGACCATCGAAACCGTCGAGCTCAGAGAACGAACAACGCCCGGCGAGCAGTGGGGCTGGAAGTGGAAAGACCGCCAAGAGCGATGAGACGCCATCCGATCCTACTTCGCCCCAGCCCGAGAAAGAGAAGACGGAGATGGTGAGGATGCGGCGTAGCAGACGGCGCGCGCGCACATCACCCCGCGCATCCATGTCGGCAGAGGATCTTATGCCCTTCACGCCATGGACTCGGCCCCCAGGACGCCGCTCGGGCTCAGTACAGAGCGACGACCCCCACAATATGGTCACAGTCGAGTACGCAGAGAGCTCTGCCCCATCGCTCAACGAGAGCCGCATCACGTCACCTCGGGACGACGAGTTGCGAGAGAGACGGCGCCGGCGTCGACCAAGAAGCAACGGTGCTCGCACAGAGGACGAGAGCACCAAGCCCGCGCCAAAGCCTTCGCGGAAGAAGAGTCGCAGGTCCTACCCAAGGACCCAGGAAGAAGCTGCAACACCCTTGATCATCCCAGCAGCCCCAGAGACGACCACTCCCACCAAGGCCACGGGAAGCCGCTTAGAAGCCTGGCTCAGCAGCACACCCGACCCTCTGGCAGAGTCGAAACCCCGACGCAGGCGCAAGTCCAAGGACTCTGTGTCGAGCCCAGAATCCGCCTCCAAGGCCGGCAAATCAGACATCACAGTATCCACCGATGCCACACAAGAGATCCCAGTCAAGAAGACGCGCTCGCGCCGCAGGCGGAAGTCCAAAGAATCCGTATCCTCCCTCGACCTGCCCGCTACCATCGATGCTTCCGAAGTCACTGCCTCAGAGGTCACTACCTCCACCAGGACGACACAAGATGAACCACGCAAGAGGTCACCAAGGAGGAGAAAATCGAAAGAGTCAGTCTCGTCTGTCGATTTACCCTACAAGGCCGAAAAATCAGACGTCAGCGCGTCCACTGATGCGACAAGGGACGAGCCTGCCGAGAGCCGCCGTAGCAGTGGTAGCGGTAGCAGACGGCGCAGAAGACGGTCGAGCCGCGAGATGACCATCAATACCCAGGATGTCGACGAGACCCCATCTACTGTCGTCTCGGATACTACGACAGAGACGACAACTCAAGACCAGGAAAGTGAAGTGTCCGTCACTCCAACGCCCTCGCTAAAGCGCCGCGGTGCAAAGCGCGGCCAGTATTCTCCCACCAAAGGCCGATCCATGTCCTCTCCTCTCCGCGAGACCACGTCGATAGACGACATACCCAAGGATGATATCACCGACTTGGACACTGCTTCGTCCGCCCCTTCTTCTTTTGCTGATGCGCCTGTACTTGACGCCATGCCTAAGCCTCTGCGACCGCGACAACTTCTCGGACCGCGTATGTTCCCTTCGACTGGCAAGCGCCTTTCAACCATCGCTTCGCAGTCAGCGCGATCCTCGCAGGTACCAGCTTCTGACACGATCACAACCATCTCCGAGGAAGCAGGCACTGGTCCCGGAGCACCTGCATCAGAAGTAGGCTCGTACTTGAACCCGGAAACTTCGACCATTATCAGTCGCCAGAGTACCCGGCGGAGGAAGCTTGCCAGACATGAGGATCTTATCTCAGTGCTTTCCATGCCCAAGGCAAGCTCGAAGAGCATCGTCTCTGCCAGAAGTATCCGTACCAACAGGAGCCGCCTTGCCACTGCCACTGTCGACGACATCATGAAAGAGCTCTCGTCTGATGAAGCCAAGTATATGAGAGAGCTCCGCACACTGGTAGATGGTGTCATCCCTGTCCTTCTTAGCTGCGTTCTCTCCAAGTCCGAGTCCGCTATCGCTGCTGGCTTATTCTCTCGCTCCTCCAAGTCCGATCCTAGTGAAGTTACTAAGCCAATCGTCGACATGGGTGTCTGCTTAGAGCGACTTAAGAACCTGCACAAGCGCGTCCCCAGGGAGGACTCCGATGCACTTGTTTCCTGGGCTCAGAGTGCACAACGAGTGTACTCTGACTACATTGCTGCGTGGCGCCTCGGCTTCCAAGACGTCGTAATCAGTCTTGCGCCGGCAGATGACGACCCGTTCAAGCCCGCAAAGGTCGTCAATGGGCCAGATGACGGTGCCCCATGGGACGAAGGGATGCCGCGAAACGCTGAGGGATATGTAGTCAACAGCGATGGCGAGCGTGTCGACGTCGCCTATATGCTCAAACGCCCTCTGGTTCGACTCAAGTATCTGTCGAAGAGTTTGAAGGTACGTTGAACTGACTTGTCCATGCTGCGACAAATACTGACATTGATCAAGGGCATTAATCATGTGAAACCTTCCGAGCGCGTCGAGCAAATCTCGAAGATTTTCCAAGACCTAGTTACGACAGCACGCAAGCGGTCGAACGACGAACAAGCCCGCCTCGAAGACGAAGCCGCGGCTAGCGTTGATCCCACTCGCGCACGCGATCCCCGAAGTCTCGCCCCTCTTGCCGGCGTCCGGGTTGATTCCACGCGCTGCGTGCGAGCTAGAGACCACTTCGACCTACATCTGTTCCATTCGAGTGGTCAAGAAATGAGTTGTCGCGTTGAGATCTTGCTCCGCGACAACGCGCCAGGTACCGGAGTCGGAGGCGACCTCCTCTTCTGCGAAGTCGATCCTACAGGGCGATGGTTGCTCCTCCCGCCTGTTCACCTCAGCAATGCATCAGCACGGAATGGCGACCTAAAGGGTGAAATAATTGTCATGATCCGTGGAAAACAAAACGATGGATCAGAGTGGAGCGAGATCATGTCTTTGATATCCGATGATGAGCAAGCTGGCTTTGAGTGGGTGCAGATGCTCGGTCTCAACCCCATCCCACCTCAAATCTCTGAAGTCAGGAAGAACCAGGCCACACCCACCACACACAGGCCGACAAGCAGCCAAGGATCCTCGTCTCTACTTTCAGCTGCAACTGAATCGACACCCCCACAGAAGAGCAGGACACCAAGCCCACATGAAATTGACATACCTATTGGGGAGCAACATACTGAAGTATCAAAAGTATGGCACTATGACACACCCGATAGGCGCAACCAATCCCGCACCATCTCGCCTGTAACTCCGCCCAGTCACGATGACTTTGTCTTTGGCAAAATAGACGACTCAGAACCCCACACACCCACAGATCCCATGCAGACGGCATACCAACTGCTCAATGATCCTGATCGAACACCCCGTGGTCTTGATGAGGCGGTGCGAAATGAGGGCACTGGATCGCCTTCTAGTCTGAAGCGGACAAGGGCGAAGAGGCTGTCTAAGAACCCTACCCTTTCTCCACATTCAGCACGGCCGTCCCGTCAGATCACTCTCGAAGATCCGGTAGAGCCAGAGAAAATTCAGACGCCAGTATCAGAGTCCAAGCCACGCCGGAAATCCACTAAGAA